GCGCTTTTAAAGGCAATCCCGTGCTACGAGAGGGCTGTTGAAGGCAATCCTGTGCTACGAGAGGACTTTTAAAGGCAATCCTGTGCTACGAGGCTGTGCTACGAGAGGGCTGCTAAGGCAATCCACATGGCTGTCATCCCTCGAGATACCTTCATTTTGTTAGCATAGTGTTTTTTCCCAGGTGAGGGTTGTTAGCTTTTATGCTAGCTGACTTCTCCTTCTCCTCCTCCTCACGACCATCCACGGCCAGTGTTCCCCGCCGGACCTCAAGCACGACCCTCTTCGCCCAGTGTTCCCTGCCGGACCTCGACCGCCGTCTTGCCTTCCTCGCTGTCTTTTTTGGTCATCCTCCTTTCCTGTTCTTTTCCTTCGCGCTCTCTCTCTCTCTCTCTCTGTCTCTCTCTCTCTCTGTGTCTCTCTGAGGAAAGGAAAGAGGGAGAGATGCCGATTCTTGCTGCTTCGTTTCGTGTCTCGCGTCCTTTTCTTCATCCCCCCTCCCTCCCTCTCCTTCCCTCCATCTCCTTGGTGAGTCGCTGTCTTCCCCGTTTTATTTTCCTCTCCGTCCTGCCGCCTCTGTCTCCCGTCCTTTAAAGGCAATCCTGTGCTACGGGTGCTCCGAGCGGCCTTTTCAAGGCCAGTCTGTGCTACGGGCAGCCGGCCGTGGGGCCCACCCCAGGATCTGCCGCGAACCAGGCCGATCGCCATTGAAATTGTATTAAAAGTTAGACAAACTCGGGCGCCCGTCCAAAAGTCGGGCAATCCTGTGCTATGAGAAGACTGTTCGAGGCGATCCTGTGCTACGAGAAGGTTTTTAAAGGCAATTTAAAGGCAATTCTGTGCTACGAGAGGGCTGTTCAAGGCAATCCTGTGCTACGGGTGTTCCGAGCGGCCTTTGCAAGGTCAGTCTGTGCTAGGGGCAGCCGGCCGTGGGGGCCACCCCAGGATTTGCCGCGAACCGGGCCGATCGCCATTGAAATTGTATTACAAATTAGACAAAATCCGGCGCCCGTCCAAAATTGGGATTCGACCGGCACTCCTGTGCTACGAGAGCTTCAGAGGCAATCCTGTGCTACATCCTCTGCTACGAGAGGGCCGTTAAAGGCAATCCTGTGCTACCACCTCTGCTAGGAGAGGGCTTTTAAAGGCAATCCTGTGCTACGAGGGTGCTTTTCAAGGCAATCCTGTGCTACGAGAGGACTGTTCAAGGCAATCCTGTGCTACGAGGAGGCCTTTAAAGGCAATTCTGTGCTACGAGAGGGCTGCTAAGGCAATCCTGTGCTACCTGCCCTCCCTACCCCTCGCCCCCTCTCCTTCTCAAACAACTTCAGTTTGTTTTGAAACAGAGTCCACGTGGCTGTCATCCCTCGAGATACCTATAAGGCCAAGAGCCCCTAGTAGCTTCCAGCTACTAGTAGCGTTCTTGCTCCTAGTAGCGATGCCAGAAGCCCTTAGTAGCGTCCTTGCTCCAGTAGTAAGGCCAGGAGCCCCTAGTAGCTTCTTGTTCCTACTTGGAACCTTGAGACTTGGGACCCACCTTTACCTTTGCGACTCCCTTTTAACATGTGGTCGATGTCTTCGCCGTCTCTGGGCAGGACGACGTGACATTAGCGAAGCTTTACGACTCAGTGGGCAGCTGCTACGATGAAATGGGGAGGCGATGGTGGGGGCGGGATGAGAGGGAGTCGACGGAAGTGAGTAGACCTCTTCCCGAAGAACGCCGTCAGGCATGAGGAGGCGGTCGAAGTTCTCCAAAAGGCCAAGGACGGCTCCGCGGTGGGCGGGGGGAAGGGGGCAATGAGAGGCAACATGAGGGGAATGTGGAGAACGTAGGGTCAATGGCAATGAGGCCCATGTTGGCTCAGCGGTGTTGATCACCAATCGCGCTCTGCGATGTTCCAACCAGTAGGCTTCGGCTCCAGTGCGCTTCCATTTCCGTTGCCGCGAAATCTGGAAGCACTGTTATTATATGTATGTATTTATGTATTATGGTAGGGGATGCTCGCATCCATCCGGGGCCGCATGCAAGGCCAATTGTACTTGCCTGAGCTGATATAGCGTCCTGATGGTTTGTGCCATGTGCCCTCAAATCGACATTCCCTATATTCAAAAATATTGGCGAGCGATGGAGGTGCCTGGGTAGGTCTGCCTTGCCCGGATCAAAGCCTGCAAAGGCCATGTAGTTCTGCATCTGGGTCAACTCATGGTAGGGAAAAATCAGTTTGCTACGGGGCAATGTGCGGAAAGTGAGACGGTGATACTGGGGCAAACGAGAGGGCAATGAGCTGGCGATAAGAGGGCATTGGAGGGCAACCAGGCCAAGTTAGAAGGGGGCAATGAGGGCAAAGAGGGGGGAATGCAACAGTGAGAGAGCAATGTGGCGGGGGGTGCAGGGGGCAATGAGAGGGACCATGTACATTTTCGGTGAGGCAATTGTGAGCGCAATGACAGGGTGACGAGGGGGGCAAGGAGGAGGCAATGGAGGGGGGGAATGTGGGTGCAACGTGGAGGCAATGAGGGTCAGGGTCAATTTCAACTATTGCTATACTGACAGCACCCAGCATTTTGTCTTTACATCCGCTTGCCTTTCAGTTCATGGAACTTCCAGAACGGACCCCGGGGTCTCCCACCACGGTGGTTCGAACCGGCCACGGTTCGAACCGCTCCAGGACTTGTATGATCGCTCCATCGGTACCGAGAGCCCCTTGTACGGCAGCGCTTGTGAGCGGCTGAGCCGAGCGCTCGTGCATGCGCAGCGGCATCAAGAAGGTGAGGAAGCCAAGGTGAAGGGCTGTTCCCCCTTCAACATGTTTGCAGGCTAGAAAGACGAACGTAGTTTGAAGAGCTGATCATGGATTGCGCGGAAGTCCAGAGTCAACAGCAAGGCTAGTCAGTGTGGTTTTGGAGTGGCCCCTCCTTGACATTGGTTCAAAATCATCATGGACAGGTGTCATTGGAACTTGGAAGGCTTTTCTTTGAGGGGCACTTTCGGGCAGCTACTTACTGTGGTGATCTGTTTCGTGGCCCACCCACCACACCTGCAGGTTTGGACAATCTCATCGAAGCCTTCACAGTCGCTTCTTCAGCACTGAGAAAGCCCCCTGTTCGCTTGGCGTGTCCACTGTTCAATTGAAATTTTTGAGGGGTTGGAGGCCATCACAATTAGGTTCCTTTTGCTAGTAGGTTGGAGACCATTCCTATTGAAAGTCAGGGTTGGGTTTCTGAGTATCTCGAGTGATTTGGACTGTGCAGACAGGGCAGACGCCCCGGGCCGACAGGGGTCCGGCGGTGGACCCAGGTGTCAGAAGCTGAAACCGTTTAGGAGCCTGGCGATGGACGAGGTCTAAGAACACCTTTTTTCCAGATAAGCCTCGTTAGAATGTGAACATTTCATTCTTAAGTTTTCTAAAGTCATCGAAGTTTGGCCCAAGCCAGATGTAGGCAACATCCTTCGAACAAAAACCAAAAAAAACAGTGTCAGGCGCTGTGTCTCTAACCCAAACCATGTGCACTCCTTGCTGATGACCGTGACCCTCACTGCAAGTCTCCATTTACAAATGAGTGGCATCGGGATCATGAACCCTTGTTTGCTGAGGACTGCGAAGACCCCAAACTAATCCACCAAAGAAGCATGCTTTGCGTCAATCCCAGCAGATCTTGCGCTTTTGTCGGAAGGTTAGCGCCACAGAATTTAGTCGAGCGATTTGTTCCTCTCCGTATTGCCCAACTTGCCCATGCAGACTGGGAGTTCTTTGGCTGAAGCAAACAAAGACAAATTGAGGCATTGAGCACCGGCTCATGACCACAGGCTGAACAATACTTGTGCGGACTGAAGGAACGCTTGCGCAATCTAGAAGGCACGTGCGTTTGCCTTTTTCAAGGCTGAGGTTGGGTCGGGTGCCTGCAAAATGCTAGGGACAAGCCCCCCAAGCTCTGGTCGCCGCAGACTGGGCAGCAAGGCTGAGCGGGTTGTTGACCTGAAGCGACATTTTGCCCTCTCGAAGCTCCGAAGAGTTGCAAGGGTTGTGCAGAAGCTTCGGTTGCTGCAGGGTGCAGAAAACCGCCGCAGCTAGAGTGTTGGAGTCCATTCCGGGTTTGGTGAATCTTGTTACTTTGGAAGTGGAAAATGATGCTGGACTTTCACCTTACCCAATCGTGTGACTGCCACTTGGGTTCCCATTCAGCCACTCCCTCGGACATCCTTGGACTGCGACCCCTCCGAGGTCATTGCGCTTCAGGACGCTGTGCACCCCACGCCGCTCTTTGAGCTTTTGGGCATCGCTTTGGAGGAGATCCCCATCACCAAGGAGGCCGAGCCACCCGATGCAGGGTTCCAGGGGTTGGGGAGGTTTCAGATGTGATGATTTAGGACCTGTAGGGCCTGTAGAGCCTGGTTCTTATGGCAGGGGGTTTGGGGTTTTGCAGCTTCCAAACGACAAGGCCAACACCCTGAAGAGGCCATTGAGATCCACTGACTGTGGGGTCACCCCCCTGGCTCGATCCTAAACGAACAGAATTCGCGATGAGGAACCCTGCTTCGCAACAGAAACAAAACATGAGTCTTGATCCATTTGTTAATCCGTTCATATTTTAGGATCCATCCATCTACCCAATCTACCTGATGCAGACTGTTGAGTAGAAAGCCCCTTTTTACGGAGATAGTCCGTGATAGTTCAACATATCCGTATTAGGGAGTTTTCATCATCAACAGTAGGGGACGCTACTAGGGGCTCCTGGCATCGCTACTAGGAGCAAGGACGGTACTAGGAGCTGTTGAACCCACCGAGATGTGCCCCCGGCCACCAGGTGGACGTGCGCGAGCTGGCGCGGCTGGAGATGCCGATCCAGGCGGCGGTGCGGAACATGCGCTATCGGGGCCTGGATCAAGTGGGGCGTACCATGTTCTTTTCATTTCGAACCTCGACAACTTCCGCAGTTCGAGATGACTGGCTGAAAATCAAAATGAAATCACATGAATCGTTTACCAGTTCAGGATCCTTTCATCACCTGTGGCTACCCTTTCTTCCATCACAACATTTTGCACCATGCCTACCCTCGGTCGTCCTTCAGTGCCCAGGATGGCAACTGTGGAGTCCTCTTCGAGCGCATGGCGCGCGCGCTGGTGCTCTGCAGCTCTGCCGGTGGCACGGCCGAGGAGCAGCGCTCGGCCGGGCAGCGCCGCGCGACCGCGCGGACGCTTCTGCTGCACGCACGGCCGCTAGTGGAGCAAGCCACCAAAGAGGGCCTGGCGGATTTGACGTGACTGGCACAAATGGGGGAGCTGGGAAATGAGTTCAGTTTATCCGTTTATCGCTTGGATACCCACTTGATAAGAAGTGCAAATCATTCACAGTCTTGTTGAGAACAGTGGGCAGTGTTTGTGTTTTTGTGGCGCTTGAGGAGGCCTCTTCGTTTGTGTGCTCAATGGACCACAAGATCAGACGTGATGTAGACTGTAAACAGTTGCTAGCAACCAAGACTTGCGCAAACAGAAAAAGATCGCTGCAAGTGCAAGATGCATTGCGCTCTGTCCCGGAGGTTGCACCTTTGGTGTTTCCCTCCTTTGATGTTTATCTAACGGTTGCCAATTCCGCATTCTGGGTGAGGGTGTTGATGCTTCGAGCAGACATGGAGTTGGTTTCATCAGCAGCCCCAAAATTGATGGGGTGAATAAGCCTGACATTCTGCTCAGCTCAGTAGAATCTCTAGAACTACTTGAAGCTTTAGCAATCTTTTTAGTTGGAGATATGGACCGATCAGGCCACAATCTTTCAAGAAAGGTTCCATGAAGATCCTATACTGCATTTTTGGGATCCTTGGCAGGGCAGAGGATATCTGACATGAGCGGCTGCAGGCATATCTCCATGCTGATTGACACGGAGCTGCAAGCCTTAGAGAACCAAGATGCCGCTGCCCGTCTTGGTTTGCCCCAGCAGATGGGCCAAACGCCGGCAGCGCCAACACCCGTCCCATCCAGACCAGCTCCACCAGTGCCTCCAGTCGCTGTGGCACCACCGGTGCCCGCACCCGTGCCCGCACCGGTCCCAGCAGTCCCACCGGTGGCTGCACCGGTGGCAGCACCGGCCGCGGTGCCGGGAGCGCCGACGGGGTGGCGACGGAGATGAGGAGACGAGGAGATCCTCGTAGCCTGCGACGAAGACGACGAGGGTCACCAGTTGGTGATCAAGCGTGGTGAAGCGTCGGAAAAAGCAGAAAAGGAGTCAGTGTGGCTGCCTGCGATTCTGGGACCCTGAAATCATTGTACAGCGCCTCCAAAGAATGGACTGCCTTTACTTCTTGTCACCACTTGAGGGTGCTACGTAGGCAGTCTTCACTCAGCAGCTTCACTCAGCTTCAGGGCCAGAACGCCTGTTCAGCATGCAGGTCCACCCCAAGAAGTCGGATGACGACCGGCTCCAAGGCACGAAGCTTCCGAGCGATGAAGCGACGCAGCGTGTTTTGGTGGTCTCCCACAAAGCGCTTTCGTGTCTGAAGCAACTCCAAAAGCGCTTTCGTGTCTGTCGAAATCCATGTACATGCAGTTTAGGGCCGAAAAAGGTGGGTTCTGATGTGGACAGAAAGTTGCGACAGTACATTGGAATCTCTTCACCAGCTTTCATGGACCAATGGAGATGGTCGCTCTCAATCTCTTTCTCTTGCATCCAATGGTGTACCAATCCAAGCAAGTAATCCGAACGCAAGGCGGTCTTGAATATTCATTGATCCGCTCAAAGGCTCAAAGTCTGTTTTATATCATGAGCTCTCACAATCTACACCACGGCTCCAAGTTCTGTTGATGGATCCATACTGACTTCAGCCACTGGAACTGCTGTTTGAACTTGACCTTTTTGCATCGTTCGAACTGACTTCTGCAGAACTCCAATACCCTCAGAGCCGGGAGCACCGACTTCTGGCCCGTTGGCGCCACCTGCGAGGTGCCGTGCCCGCGGTGCCTGCGGTGCCGGCGGTGCCGGCGGTGCCTACGCCGGACCCCATAGGCACCAGATGCGCTGGACTCCGCCGGACTCCACTCGTTTGTCGTGGTTGGAACTCGGTGTTTTTCTGCAAGACGAGTTACCCACAAAGGTCAGGTGGGTTGCTTCGTCAGACCTAGCGAAAGGCTACAATTGTTGATTTTATTTGGCCTTTCGGCTAGTGGTCTTTCCTGAGACACTTAAGTTCTTGAGACAGCAATTTGGCTGATGTGCACACCATCAGCTGTAAAAGGATACCTGCATTGGGGACCAACACAGTAGTGCCTTATGTCAGACATTCGCAAGAATGAAAGAAAGAAGCTGTTCTGGGACCCGAACTATCAAGTTGCATCATCCCACATATTCTGTACCAGTGGAGATTTAGCACTGTTAAGAATGGTCTTGAATGTCTGCTCAGGGACTACCCATTCCCCTCGGTTAGGGACCAGCTTGCTTTTTTCATGCTTGCCAGGCAATCCTCCACCACCCTCACCGTCCGTGAAAAAGCGGGCTAGAGCCCCAGTGGCAGTTGCTGCGGGAATTCGCCACTGATCAGTCTTGCATGCACCTTCTGTCAACCACTGGCTTGTAGAGGAAAGGGACCCTATACATTGTGAGAGAATGCGTCTTAGCCTGCGGTAGGACCTCCTTCACCAACCCCTCTTTCAGGAAGCTTACGAGATCTTCCTGTCCTTTCTATCTATCTTCAGGGCTCTTCACTGACATCTCTTCCTGTCCTTATGACTGTATGGTTCTGGAACTCTTTTCGCATTCTGAGGGTGAGGATGTGCAGTTGCGGACGCCACTTGGCAGCGAGGAGGATGCCAGGAGGGCTCCAGACATCACTGGTTGAGGGAAAGAAGGTTGGTCAATTGCTCCGTGAATTCCTGCCTATGTAGGAATTAGGATGATTCGGAGTTGTAGGAGTGGTCGAGAGTCCATTATTTAGCTGAATGGCCAGGCATGAGAAGTGTTTCCGATGGAGTAGGGAACATCATCGAGACTGGAGAATCACCATTTGGGTGTGTCGATGTAAGGAGGAGAACTTCCTTTATAGATCAGAGGATTCTCTCCATTCCGCTTCGGAGTCGGAGGAGTGCCTGACCCGTGTGTGTGTGTTTATTCGTGTCTTCAGGTCCAACTTCATGCACTGGCGTTTCCAATTGCACATCAAATTGCACCCTCCATTTTCATCCATTTTCCAGATCCACTGCCGATGAACGCACGATCGTCCGCCCGAGGCTTCACCAGGCGCCGGCCCCGCCGCCCTCGCCCTCGCTCTCCTTGCCGATGCGGTCGCCCTCGGCGCCGGGGAGGCGGGGGTTCGTGGTGTGTCCTAGTGGAACGATGAAGGAGCCGTGGGCGAAGTGACACGAAAGCTTCCTGAAAGTTCGGAGATTCCGTGTCAAATTTCTGAGATTTCCCACTCAAACCCAACCGGATGGGCCAAGTAGTCCTGAACATCTACTTTCAAGAGGAGCTAGCAGCTAGTATGTCACCGAGGTATCTTTGAGTGGAACTTCTGCGGATTTGCTTCTAGACCCCAGAGACCTGTGGGGCTCCATTTTGGGAGGACAGGCTATTTTCAGGAAACCAAACTCACTCTAGGACTCCAGGGGAATAAACTACCCACGAACCACACGATCCACTTGCGCGGCAAACGCAAAGGGATTGGACCAAATGACCGCCAAACACGGAAGAATCCACCATTGTCGGTGAGCTCTCTGGAGGTATATGGTTTGTGTTGCAGACAAGTGATGAAGCTTTTCCGTATATCAAAAGAGCGAGACGTAGCCTCCCCGGAGATCGTCTTGGTTTTGTATCATGCTCATGAGTCATGGGATTCGACCATGCGTTTCTCCACAGCCAGTGGGTTTGCGCAGTCTCAACTCAACACAGTCTGGTTAATTTCAAGAAGGTCAAGATGGGCCCATTAAACTGCGGGAGTTGTGGAGGAGATGTTGTGTGTGTATAGGTCTGAAGGCGGGTAGGGGAATGATGAACACTTGGATTTGAGGTCTCAAACAAGATCATGCTGTAAGCCTGTTGGTAGGACATATGGATGCAGTTCAACCAGACAAAGCTTCACGGAATCTGCTTGTGAACGATGTAAGCCAAGTGTTGGGGCATTTCAGTTCTTAAAGCTGCCACAGGCAGCTGACCCCAATCTGCTTCAAAGCAATGTTTTGCTTGAGGGTCCCACCTTGGCTATCCCCATCCCATCAATGCCAACAATTCACCCGCAATCCACCTGCGATGCAGGCAATACTCTGAGGTCCTCGCGAATATTCTGAATAATAGCCCGACGCTGGACAGGAGAATAACACCTCATGCGCACGCCGACGATGGAGCGGGATCAACCCACCGGGACACACCACCAAACGGATGCTTTCAAGGGAACAAGAAAGTGGATCATCTATATAGAACAGTAATACATTTAATTTTTGGGCGTGATCCAATCGGGACATAATCCTAGTCGACATACTTCTTGATCGGCAACTTGGTCCAATTCCCAGGCGTGGAACCCAGTAGTGCACTCATGGGAGTTGATCTAAATGGATCTACCAATGAGGGCACAAACCGAAGGTTTGCCGGAGCCACCTTGCTCTCTTTTGAGCCAAGAACCACCTCCACACCTCAAGTATCGAGGTGTTCTTTTGCTGGAGCCATGAGAGGAAGCCTACCTGAAGTGGTTAATGGCGCTGTCCACCCTCACCCAACTCTGCTAACTCTGATACTCTGCTACTGTTGATGGACAAAACTCTGCTGTCAGCTGACCCCACGTGGAGCCTCCAACAAGTTGCAACTCACGACCTTTCAGTCGCCAACAACGCGGCACTGGTAGTTTCTTGCGCCTCCCAATCGTTTGATCTGTGATTGATCAAACACACAGACAACCACCTGCGAGACTATATAGTGACCGTATGCAAAACCTTGGTTTTTGCTTGGGGATGGCATTGCGGCGTCCAATGGGTGTTGCAATGGTTTGTTATCAAAGATAATCATTCCTGATCATTTATTTTTATATAACACGATCAAATCCGTGCGAAGGGAACCTGGGTAGAGGGAGAGGTCTCCTTCAAGGATTGATCACAGTCTATCATATTTCTTTCCAGGTTTGGCTATCCATGATTGAAGAAGCACCTCGGCACCGAGGATCTCGGAGAACAATCGCTGCAAGGCTGCACAAGGGCCACCCTGTGTGGTGGGGAGAAGGAATCCTGAACAAGCTCTGGCTTGATTGGTTGGGTGGTTTAGTTTGGTGGTTTGGATTTCTCAGGTTTTGCTTGGTTGAACGATTGCTTGTTTCTGAGGTTTGCAACATGGTGATGTCATCTTTCTTTGCAGCGGCAACATGACCAGACCCCACGACCAAAACCTGCAAAAACCATGAAAAACCATGGGTTCTACCGAACAAACACTCCTGCATATCAGGGTCCTCGCACCAGCCCATTCGAAACGACCGATGTGTCCGAAGACCTCGTGGCCCCAGAACGCCGGGTGATCGGGGTGACCGGGGTTCGGGTCGCATGTGACAGATGGGAATGCACCGGTGTCACCGAAAGGCCGCCGAACCTGCAAAACAAAAAGCACTTCGTGGTGTCCTTCGAACTGACAGTGGTATGTTTGGATTTGAGGATTTGGGATACACGTAACTGCCGGATTCAAAGGGTTGGTGGTTGTATGGGCAGTGCGAAGCGAAGATGAAGAATGACTTTTCCACAGCGAGGCGGCCAGAGCAAGCGGCCAGTAGAGGCAACGAATGAATATGATAAATCCGTGGTCAATGGATTTTTGAAGTAGATTTTTGATGATTTTTGAACACTGTTGGTCAGATTGAATCAGTTGTGCTTTGACTACCTTCAGTTTCAGGCAGCCCTTACGTCAGCTTACTGTAGATGTCGTACCAGGACCGGCTTCACTAATGGAAGGTCAACGTGCAGTTCCCATATGGCATATGGATTTGACCAAAGCCTGAGTATATATTTCCCTCGACTATCTTGACTACTTTTGACACCACTCAGCTGAGAAAATTACATTGGTCCCACCTACATTTGGACCTTGATGCACCAGTTTATCCCTTCTCAAAACTTCCCTCTTCTGCCATGGCTCCTTGTGGCGCTCGGGCGCGGGGCCGCTCCCTGTGCTCAACTGCGCAATGCGGGCACAGCACCATGCGGTGCTTACCGCCATGCTGCGGCGGGCACAGTGGCAAGAGGTGCCTTGACAGGAAAGGTGGGTACTGAGGGGCCAAGAGCCAAGAGCACGGTGAACATTGCCACCAGGTGGGTTTGAACCAACCATTTGAATACTAAACGTACGTGGCGCACTCGACCCACACCTAGGAGACATCTCCCCAATGTCAGTGACCAACCGAGGTGGTAGTTTAGGTCTCAGTGGTTGCTTTCTATCCATATCCTCCGTTTTACAAGGGTTGCATTTGATGAGAATTGCTCTCCAATGAACGAACACTGTGTTTAGGGAAGGCCAGAACTCGAGGCATTTCTAGTAGAAGAATGTAGAAGAAAGAAATAAGGGCCAATTGACTCTGCAATTGTTGTCACCATGATTCAGACTAGGATCCAGATCTCCTAATTTTCCAAAGGTATCGGTCTTATCAAGCAAAAGAACATCTAGTCTTGGACTCGTCTACTCTCCCAAAGACCATTATGGACTCAAACCGCTGGTTTGTCGTGGAACTTTGTAAAGCCCAGGAATGCATTTTCAGGCTCGTGGGAGGTGAGACACAGGGCGACCTGGAAGGAAGAAGCTAACAACTCCTATGACTCTGACCTCTTACCATGCTATGACCTTATAACTTATGACTTCCAATAGAGGAACCATCAACGCCTAGGGACCCTAGGGACGCGTTTGCAGGTGTTGCCGAACATCCTCTCAGGCTCTCCAGGTCCTGGGCCAGATGTCCGAGGATCAGGCTCACATGCTCTGTGGAGTTTGGGAAATACCCAACTCCAAAGAGTGGAATCGGAATCTGCATTCGAACTTGGAATGGATCAAATGGAAGGTATTTCTATGGAAGCTCTGCAAATTTCTTCATGCATTTGTTCAGTTGGGAAGATTCATGCAACATTTGTGTTTGTGGAACATTTATCATGCAGTATACGGTATACGCGTGGCGAACTGGGATGGAGCAGGTGCTTTTCACTTGTCTGGTATGCACCCGGTCAATCATTCAAGGCAAGTTGGCATGATTCACCCCTTATTTGAACACCTTCAGGGTTGTAGGCTTCAGCGCAAATAGCCAAGTGTGGAACATATGCTTAGGCTGTGCAGTCGGTAAAGATCATCACTATCTTTGAGAGGTCGGCCTTCAGAAAATAACATCATCATCCACATGGCCCTGGCAATGGTATATACCGTATACCCAAGACATATAGTGTGCATATACCTGACTCGCGGAGTCTGAGTAGTTGCCGTAGCATCAACGAGGAGATTTCTGGGTCCCTTCCCCAACCACTCAATTTCCCAAGAAAACTATTGTGACGGACAATCACTTAGAAGCCATTTTAGAATGTGAAGAAGCAGCACTAAGTGCAGATTCAGCATTTTGGATTCTTATCTTTTTGAGTGACTGCCCGTCGCTATGATGAACCTTTTAAACTTCTTTTTGAGTTCCCGCCGCACATGTTTAATCACACAGTGGAACAGGCACGGCCAAAGAGAGGATGACCACCAGATGTCTTTAAGAAGACTCCTGAGCTCTAAATCTTCTCCTGTGTTGTGATTGGGTGTGACCTTCCAGTGGTCAATGAGCAAGTATATGTCAAACCGTGACATCCTCGGAATGGATCCCTGTCATCCCTAACAATCCCTGTCATCCCCACAGCTGCGTGTTGCGCGAAAACCTGGGAGATCCGGCCCAACGTGGTGTCCTACAATTGTGCCAGCAGCGCGTGTGCGAAGAAGAGCCGCTGGCAGCAGTCGTGGCAGCTGCTCAGAGAGATGGAGACGAAAAAGGCCGGAGAAGTCTATCCGTGCAGAAGAAGTATAGTTCCCTGGTTCCCTCCAGGTAGGGGTGCCACTGGTGGCTTTCTGAGCTCACATGGCCATGGCCGGCGACATCGGCTGTTTCTGGAGACTTCGGTTTTGTCTTCATGGCCAAAGTATTAAGTGCAGTGGAAAGAAGACGTACTCCAAACAGTCAAAGGGAAGATTTTGGACACCTAAAGGGTGAAGGTTCATCAGACTCTCAGCAAAGACTTTGTGTGCCGTGTCAGGTTTGGCCAGATGCCAAGAGCTTTGGCGCCTGTGCGAGTGGGCTGCCTAGAACTGGGTGATGCATGTCCAAAAAGCCATGTTTCAAAGCTGATGGGTAAGCCGTTTTTTCTTTCTGGGCCCGTTTGAACGGCACCCGCGGGACATCGATCGCGCTGCTCGACACCGCGTGACTCGTTGCCGACACCGTGTGAGGCGCAGCCGAGAAGAGTCATCGGTGGACGTTGGCCTTGCAACTGCTTAGGACCGGGCAGTGTTCGACACATTCCGAGCAGGTGACTCAAGGTCGTTGATGTCTGTGAGAAGCCAAGCAAGCTCGCTGGAGTTCTTCTTGTTTCGGGGCTACTCCTTTATGATCCTTTATGTAGCCCAGATCGGCCAGTTTTTGCTGCGCCGCTGGGGATAAGCCACTGTCACGGCGCAAGCAAGCTCAAAATGGTGAGAAGTACCAATACAGTAGCTTCTTGTTACTAGTAACAAGTGCCACGCTAGTAGTAACAGGTGCCTTACTAGTAGTAACAAGAAGCCATTAGAAACAATAAGCTAATAGCTTCTTGTTACTAGTAAGAATGCTCCTAGTAGCGATGCCAGGAGCCCCTAGTAGCGTCCTTGCTCCTAGTAGCAAGGCCAGGAGCCCCTAGTAGCTTCTTGTTACTAGTTAAGTTCCCCCAAATCCAGGAACCAAATCATTAGTGCAAGCGCTTCTTCAAGGAAGCTCCCTCCGCCCTCAGGTGGGGGGAGCTTCAGGGTGAAGAAGCGTGAGCTATCCTACCTCCAGTTATTGGAAACTTTAGTAGCTAGGAGCCTACTCCCTTACTTAATTAAGTAGGCTCCTACTTAATTAAGTATGGGTTTAAAAGAACAATAATCCGTGTATAATTGCAATTTCTTTGTAGGAATGGCTCTGGTTTAGAAGCTGCTGGTCAGATAAAGCACTGCTAACAGGGGATCCTTTTATATGCCAATTCTGCTACTTGTACCTGTATAAGGATATAGGCTAGGAAATTGTACACTACGGGTGTAGTAAACCGGTATTACGGTCTTCTTGTTTCCGGGTCAAACAAACATGTGCACGACTCAATTCAACGTCCGGCGACGGGTTCACCCGGCCCTGGCCATTCACCCCAATGCCAAGCTCCAAACGTCCAGTGAAGGCCCAGGGCGGAATCTGCTGGACCGGGAAAAGGTACATGTGAACAGCATGGACTCTTTGTCATACATTTTTGTTTGGTTATCCTTCTGGTTATCCTTCTGCTCGTAGTAGCTTCCTTTGGTTATCCTCTATCATTTCTGGTTATCCTTCTGCGTTTGCAATCACTTGTGAACACAAGAGCTTCACTTGTGGGGTTATCCCGGTCCTTCACTCTTGTGCTCATAGCACACCGGTGGGTCTTTGCACCACACGGTCTGTGTGACCGATTCGACTCACAGACCTGCCAGGGAGCAGGAGCGGCTCCAAGTGCGGTTGGGACAGCACGTGGCCTCTGCGGTCATCAGCAGCTGTGGGCATGCTGGAAGGACCGCACACGCCTGGACATTCTTTGGACCCTGCATGATGATTACGTGATGGCCTCCAACCTACTGTAGTTGGTTTAAGTTTGGTGCAGCTTGTTGACGTTCAATTGGAAAAGATGGACCATATCTATACAACGTGCTACCACTCTCATTGCTCATATCGTATCGTGGCCTCTGCGGTGAAAGAGCACTTGATCCGCTTCGGACCGCAGAGCACTTGGGTTGTCAAAGCTGAAGGAGGTTGAAGTTGGTCGCACCCAATCGCTTCATCACCAAACAATTGGGTGCCAAAGAGTGTTTGATGTCCTTTGGTTTTGGTGTTGACCGTAGAGTCTGGAACAAAGCTTCATCCTTTCGATTGACCTGGGATACCTTTGGGGATAGGGAACATGCAGGTTGTTAGGACAACTGGGTTTCAGTATGGCTTTGGTATGAGCAAACCTGCAGAGGTGGCGACAGACATCGTGTACGCCTGCTTCCAATAAAAACACAGTGGGTGCATGTGGCTTTCAGTCAGTGGAGGCTCTTTCTCAGCCCCTGCAAGTTTGATTTTGGCCAGGTGGCAACATTCCGTATTTGTTTTCCATCAGCTGCAACGCACAGGTGCGATACGTCGTGGCTTCCAGAGGGAGGAACTGACGTTGGAGAACTGTGCTTACACAGAAAAAGGTGATGTAAGACAAATACCAAAAAGGGTCAGAGGTCTAGAGAAGGAGAAGACCGTGAAAAGCAAAACGATTGAACACACCCACGTTCTGGACCTTGTATTTACATCATTAGATTAAATTAAAGTGAGGCTGGAAGAAACATCAACAACTGGGTGATTGAACGGAAACATCCTCCACAACATGAGTAGGCTGCTTAGGCTCATTGTGATCAATCAAAGTGCAGGGATTTGAATGGAACAACCCCAATTCTGAGCTTGATTCTCAATTTTCCTGAACTTGTCATGTCATGATGGTTCTGGATGTTGTTGTCTTGGCATGCTTCTGGATTTAAATGACTTGGGAGATCGCGGACTGTTCCTCAAAAAGGCAGCAGAACACCCTTTCCAGTGGAAGCACCTGCCTTTTCCGCTCAAAATGCCGGGTCTTGAGCCAATGTAGGTTCTCAGAAGTCAGTTTGAACCGGCGGTGTTTTCCCCACTCCGCCTGAAAGACCGACCAGATGGGCCAATCTCCGACCTCTCAGCCACGTCCGACTCATCGACCTCTCAGCCTCCAAGTTCCGCAGGTGTTACACCCAATCGCCACGTCCTTTGCTCCGTGGTCACCGCCCTGGGCGCGGCGAAGCGCTGGCGCGCTGCGCTGGCCACGCTGGCGGCCGAACTGGGCGAGGCGGCCGAACTGACTGACGTGGCGCTGCAGGGCGCGGTGTGGCTCGGTGAACGATGGATGTGTCTCCCCTGATGTGAGATGTTTTTTGCCACCAGTGCATCAAGTGTTGGAACATGAACCCCATCCGTTGGGCATTCGCAGACACAAACGCGAAGACTCTCTCTCTCTCTATATATATATGTATATGTATACAGCATCACGATTTGTGGCAAATTTGGAGCATATTTGGAGCATAAAGCCGTTACCAAAGTAGACACTTGCTTCTTTGCGGCTGCTTCGAACCACCAGTCTACTATCCCCAATGCTGCTTTCGCTCCAACATGAACGATGACGGGTCGGAACCCCCACGCTCTCGTCCAGGATGTCCACGCTCTCTTCAGCGCAGCAGTGGCAGCAAGCCCTGGAGCAGCTCCTTCGCCCGGAAGCGGCTTCTCCACGGGTCGTTCCCGCGCAGCCCGGCATTGACCCGGTCCGGGCCGGGCCGTGGACACGGAGGGACCCGGCTTTGGGAAAAAGAGGGTTTTGCTTGTGGATGTCTTTTGGAAGACTTTGGGATGCAACAAGTTCTGCTTGTGGAACAGAACCGATTGCTCGTCCCGAAGGTCAAACTACCATGGGCCTCTCCAGATACTTAGACACCCATTTGAGGCATCTCCAGATACCGATCTCGCTGTGGTTTAAGACAGTTTCCTTCGCATTTGCCAGGCCTCTGGTCACCTCCTTCCTTCGTGGCATGGGCTTGGCCTCCCAGTGGCTGTTGGCCCTGGTGATCTTCCACCAGCTGCGTGTTCCGCTGCGGACGAGGCCGGTTGGAGCTGCGTCTGCCTCTAAATTGGATCCCGCTGGTGAGAGGCACCTGGGTTGTTGCAGGTGTTTTTGATTCAATAGGATTTAATGGTTCCGGGTTCAATGTTTCTGGGGCGAAACGGGTGAAATCGTCAATCTGCTTACCATTCACTGGACAATCTTGGACGAAGGACACTGCATACAACCAGTGAATTTGATGGGTATGACAGGCAGGTTGTTTTTCTACACCTATGCGAACCGTAATCGATTTTCCTCAGGCTACCAGCTACCAGACATGTACCAGAGAGGAAGTTTGCGGGCCTCCTCAAGTTTTAATGTTGGATTGACACCTTGCCATTTTTTCGGGGGAACCCCCCCATGCCGGCCTTAACAGCACATACCGTTGGGTTGCGGTCAGCCCGCACGTGGAACGTTCGTCAACGCAGATTCGTTTTGTGTCTACTCCATGCGTGTCGGGTGGCCGTCGGCCTGACAGCTCTACCTGATGAACACTGTCCCTTCTCACGTGTAGATTGGACCTGGGCAATCCAAACTATGACCAGCTTGTATCTACTTGAGGATGACTTCAGGCATTCACAAAGCTCCTGCCGAACGTGAAGGATATCCAGAAAGACTCTGAAATCAGGACCGAGAACTTCTCTCGTTTCATCCTATTTGACGCCTCTTACATCCTCTTACCGAGGTGATTCGAGTGCAACGCTGTCTCATGACTCCCAGGCTTCAAACCCCTCCGGCTCATCCTTCAGGCCAGACACGCCGACCATGAACGCTGCCATGGGCTGTGCGGCAGCTGGACAGGTGGGAAACAATTCCGTCGTGTCCGCGGCCCGGGACGAATCGTCGGCCGTGGGGGGGTCGTTTTGGATCTCCACCGCGCCTCCCGAGTGACCCGGACGGTCCGAGTTCTCGAGGCTTGGAAAGTGGCCCTAGCCATCCTGAAGGAGAGTTTGGGGCTGTCTTTCGCGCGGTTGGAAGCCCACATGAGCTGAACCAAATCCCAGGTCGACCAGAAAGTTTCATTAGAGGGTGTTTGGCTTGGCCAGACATGATCGAATGTGTTCTATTCTTAGTTGAGAACGATCATTTTCCCTACTTTTCACTTTGCTAGGAATTGACAATCAGGTCAGGCCTTGGTGGTGAGGGGTGTTCGGTGAAACGTGCAAGACTTCCATCGAACCCCAGCACTTAGTAGATTTACGTACTGTAGGTCACAATAAGACGGGGTATCCGTTAACTTGTATGCTCCACTGTTGTAAGTGCATGTGCACCTACAATATGGGTCAAAATAAGACATGGTAAATGGTACTGTAACCGCATGTGCACCTAGAATATAGGTCATATTTGGAAGTGGTATCCGTGAATTTGTATGCTCTACTGTTGTAAGTGCATGCGCTCCTACAATATGGGTCATAATAAGACGTGGTATCCATAGACTTGTATGCTGTCCTGTTGTAACCCCATGTGGACCTACAATATGGGTCAGAATAAGAAATGGTATCGGTTATGTAACTTGTGTGCTCCACTGTTGCAACCGATTCGCTGAGTGCTGGAAGGACCATTTTGAGACTCAATTAATTTGTGTCTATTGAGCATATGTCGCCAAAACAGGTAAAAACTAGCGCACACTAAGTTTCTATTGTTTTGCTCCTACCACATTCTTCTTGATGAGCTTCATGGTTTCCTTGAAGCTGTTCAAGAATTCAGGGGTCTTGTTCATTGCATCATCAGCCTGGCAGTCGTGTTAGTTGTGGCATGCTGTCATGGACCTTTAGAAAACCAAGTTTCGTTTGATTTACTCTCACTGGGCGGAGCGCCGCTTCAGAGCAAATCAAAAAAGTATCCCGAAACAAGTTTCCTTTGATTTAATATGACTAATGAGCTGCGCACGAGAGGTCAGACTTGCCGAAACACACTCGATTTGAGTTAGAAGCTGGCATTTGTGAGAAACGCAGCAAGGTCAGGGCCTTCTTCACGTTGAGTGGCGGGAGAGGTTTGAGATAGTTTGAGTGTTAAGATGTCAAGAGTTCAGAACATGTCAACCACTTGCACTTTGCACAAATCTATCCATATTATCTCTTTTATGGTCATATTATGGAATGCCTTGTTAGATTCTACAACAGTGGAACGCACCAATTTGTGAATGCGATGTGTTTATTTCAACCCCATTTTTTTGTGCACAGACAGACTTTTTGCACCACCTGAGGCCACAAAGCACTGAGATATGGGTAGGAGACCCCTCATACAAACTGGTGCACGATGCCTTCGTGCAACAGCAGAACAACACGAAGAACTGGATTTGGGGCAAGCAACTGTCGGGGGGTTGCCGTGCCACTAGGACATGAAGAAGCAGGACTCCACGAAGCGCTTTGGATTGGATTTGGACTTCTAAGTGGCACAAGGAGGAAAAGAAGGAATGAAACGAACGGAGAGATCCCTCAAAAGGCCCTCAAGTAATCCTGGAAAGTCAATCCGAGCTGAACATATTTGGGACGAGGTTCCATTTCGGGAGCACTCGGAGGTTTTCTTAGAAGTTTCGATGGGGTTTCATTCAGTTGCTAGAGTTCATGTGATGCAGGCTCCTCCCAATGAGTCAAGGCCTCATCCCAAAGCGTTGATGGACTGTGGAGCTGCTTCTAGAAATTTGGATGAATCGTGCCCATCCCCGCTGGGACAATAATGGTTGAGCAATTACAGATTGCGCGCAAACCAGAGTTTTGACTCCACAGGTCTGTCGGCTTGGTTCGACTGTGAGTGCTTCCGGTGTTCCCGTTGGTTGCTTGGTCCAGTCTCGAGTTCCCATCCAAATGCCATTTGTGTACTTTGTGTTTGAGATGAGTCTTTGAGGCCCAATGTGGCCAGCTTCAACGCTGCTGTCTTAGCAGCAGCCGTGGCCAGCCAATGGCAGGCCGCACTGGATCCAAACCGATGGTCGCATTTCCCTCCGATTCTGCACGATCCCTGGGGGGGGGCGGGGTGTTTGGTACTTCTGGGTGAAGAGGTGTTTCTGCCTCAAGTTCCTGAAGCCGCCACAAAGAGCTCTCGCTTGTGGCAATTTCGTCCAGATGGACGGATGATGGACCTTGTGAGACAGATGATCATGTTGAAGTTAAGAATCGACTGGACAATTCTTCTCTTTTTTGATTCTACTCAACCCACTCCGGTCCAAATCTTCTGGTTTAAGGGATTGGGATTTGCATGAACTCCATCAGCATCCAGGTGGCCTTAGCCATGCTGCCAGCCATGCGAGGCCAAATTGGATTGATTGAACTTGGATCAGATCTGAAGATACTCAATTGAACGCATCATCTTTATTTAGGTGAGACGCACACGTGCTGACAGTTGTGGCCTCTCCATGTTCAATTTAGGAGGCCCATTTCTATCGCAATTCGCTGAAACAATGATCCAAACGCGTAGACCTGCACAGCTCGGGTGGACCTGCAAGCGCAGACGAAGAAGAGTTGCTTTCCAGAGGTCCATTTTCCAGAGCTCCGATGGTTCACTTTCGGGAATGAGGTAGATGTTGACCATCGGCAATTTCTGCCTGGGGGCTATACCGTGGGCAACTTTCGCCCAAGGAGTGCTTTCTTGGGGCAACTTCTTTGTTGGCCGTCCTGGTGATCTGCCAAATGATTTTGCTTTTCTGTTACTACTACCTTCTTGCCACTAGTAGCGATGGCCTCCAACCTACTTGCGATGGCCTCCACCGAATAGCGTCCCAATACTCTCTTTTGGTTATCATTTGTTAGAATCCGGAAATCTGAAGAATACCTTCGAAATCTGCCAGATCATCATCTTCAGCCCGACACTGTCACCTTCAATACCTTGATCCATGCTGCTCGGCACCCTATGAGTTCGCCCGACAGGGGCGGAGGTGAGGAGATGAGTTCATTTGGTGTTTGAGAAGCTCATTTTCGCTGCTAGCAAATATGTATTGTATGTAATATAATTTTTGGACTTGGGATCAACCCTCGAGGTTGAGACCTCGTCCCTTCAAGGCGTCGTTCAAAGAAGCTGCAGGACCGTGCCATGGAACGGCAAAGGTGGAGTTTGAATCCACACGGAATCCAAAGATGTTCTTTCCCAAGGTGTGTCTCTTTCCCAGTGTGAATTCAAACCCATTACCACATCGAGGTCTCACCTCGTAATGTCTCTTCACCTGGTGATTGCCGAGATTTTCTTTCCCAAGCCTTCCCCACGATGGCCCAGGCATTAGAACGTGCCGGCGAATGGCGCCGATGCCTCCTATTGCTGAACTGCAGCATGGGACTGGAAGCCCGGAACACGCTGCTGGGACCTGTTCTTCTGCGTCGCGTGCTTCGCGATGAGCTTTCTTGTGGTGCGATGTTTGCGGTGTGTCAGTCCACATGTGTGGTGCTTGGTGAATGATCCCCCACGTTCAGCGGACCTAGCTGAAGGCTTTCTCAAGCACGTGGGACCTTCGACTTGCTGAAGGATGTCCTGGGACCTTCCCAGAAAGCCGGTCGGTGCCGGGTGCTCCCAGGGCCGCAAGTGCCTGCGGCAAGTCCACCGAATGGCAGCGATCCTTAGCCCTGCTGCCGGGCGGCGGGCCAACAGAGGTGAGCGTCAACGTGCCATGGTCGGGAGGTGGAGGCAGGGGAACTCTGTAGACATATCGGTGAACATATGTGAACATGATCACCTACATGGCCCTACATGTCAAACTCGGGTTTTATTTGCTCGCTTGCATGTTCGTTGTGGCAACTGAGCTGAAGTCAGTGACAACCTCCCCGCAAGGAATATTATATCAAGAGATCTTTCCAGTGAAGTGATCTCTGATGAGCACTGTAATGAGAAGTTGAGGCTGCTTGAATCTAGGTATCGTCTTGTGGGTCGAGCAGAAACTGGACAGGATCTTTATGATCTATCTTGGACTGTGGAGGTGTAGCTTCTTTGGGACCCCTAACAAGCAAAAGTCAAAGTATTGGTGCAGTATTAAAAGCCATTGTAAGTCGCAGTGGACCAAACAATTCTTTACTTTGCCTTACCAATGTCAACTTGCAGAGTGACTATCCCGCATGTGACCCACATCTATGCAGCATCAAGTTGAATCTCCAGTATCGTCTGACGGTGTCTAAGATGGTACTGTTCGATCTCCAGTGATCAGACTTCTCAGATGGTGTTAAGATGGTGTTTTTACTTCTCCGGGTGCTGTTTGAAACATCGTCTCCTTCGTTTCCGGTTTCAAACGAAACAGATCGCGGTGAGGTCTGACCCGACGGCCGGCTGTCCAGTTGTCCGCCACAGGGATCGAAGTCGCACGAAAGCGGTCGAACTTGAGCCGAGGTTTGCATGAACGCTTGCTTGCACGGCTCCAAGTGGGTGGCTCGTCCCTTCCCAGCTGCCAGCGGAACTCTTCAGTCTAGAGGTCCGGATTCGGCCCTTTAGGAATGTCGGGTGAGAGGTCATCATGGGTGGGGCACGAAGATGCAGGGAATCCAGTCGTGGAACTCGCCTTGACCGAGCTAAATCGTGCGAAACTCTGTTGGCTTTATCAAGGACCAGACAAACTTCGGCTGGAGGATGAAACTTGCAACTCTAGAGACAGCGGCCCTCTCACATTGATGGTCAAAAACGCTGCTATGGCAACTGTACTGGACCTTCCAGCCAAAGCCTTTCCAAAACCTGTTGAAACACACAAGCAGATGGTCCCCAACTGCCTGACCCACACCCCCAAGAGGCTTCGGGCCCACGACGCTCAGGCGATGGCGTTGCAGCTCCCAGGCCGAAGCCTCTTCGCGCTTCACGATCGTCTCGGCGCCCTCGAGCGCGGCGGGGCGTGGCGCGGCGCGGCGGCGGGCGCGGTCTCGTTGCGCCGAGCGGCGCGGACGGCGCTGCTGCGGGCGGAGAGGCGCGGGGGGAAAGGCGCATGGGTCCAAGGGTCTGAAGTGAGGAGTGTAAAGAGGGCTTGACGAAAGTGATGAAAGACCGACATGTGACATGTGATGCTGGGACTGCCATTGATGTACGGTAGGAGTAGGAGGTTGAAATAAACCAGCGGACTTGAAGCTTCTAGAGTCAAGCCTCTTGACTTGCCAACAGTGTACAGGGCTTTATAGTCGGACGAATGCCAGAAAGGGACTCCTTCTCAGTGCAGGTAGCTGGCCGTGATCGTCGGAAGGCATGGCCCAAGATCTTCTCATCCTCCCTTCAGGTCATGGTTTTTTTGAGCCCTGTGCTGCAGGCTGGAAGGCCAGCCGATGGTGACGGCCTTGCGAGGTCTACCTGCATTGGGAGCGCAGGTGCAACCATCCTGAAGCGGGGGATGATGCCATGTTAAGGCACCTGCTTGGAGAAGAACTACCTGCTGTTTGATCTTGTCTTTCTTAACTTTTGAATGATCAGACTGAAAAACTTGTGGACTACAACAGAATCTCGAACACTATGGAATGCTTCCTCCCTGTCCTTGGCCACGTAGGGCTGCTAGACTAGACGGCTCTAGGCTAGTGTTTTATTTGGTCATTTCATGGATCATGAATGACCATACCATGTATGTTGAAGCCTTTTGCGAGTTAGTCATGTATTCTCAATGGAGGTTCATACCATCTATTCCGAACCATTCTGCCTGCTCATACCATGCATTTTTCGATCATCCACTTCGATGCTACGTTCTCGCTCGGAGGAGCTGCACCTGTTGCGGCGCCGCGAGCATGCGCCGCTGCTGTCGGTGCTACACGAAGAACGCCCGCAGGTGTGGGTCTCAGGAATTCAGTCTGAAGGATTCTGAAGGATTTTTCTAACTTAGAGATAGAAAGGCTGCAAGGCTCGGCTCAACTTTCAAGTTGAGAATGCATTTCATGTCATCTCACGGCCATTTCTTTATCTTTTCGGAGGATTGTTATACTTCAGAGCCACAGCTCCAGGCGACCACCTCCTACCTGATGGCCGGAGACAGCATTGGGTCCGCCTGGATGGCGCGACAGCTGATGGCAGAGCTGGGCGGTTTGCCGCGAAGAAAATGCGCGAAACACCGCGGAAAGGGGGCCCGAAAAGTGTCCAGGGCTAATCCGTCGGAAGTGATCCCGGTTGATTTGTAGACAACCCTTTTGGCAGAATGAGTGTGAGAGATTCTGCGCACCAGTTGGACAGAGGAAAGTAGGGTGTCCAGAATGCAACGGTAAACTTGGCAGACCTGTAGCTGAAGACTGAAACACCCGTTACACAAACAATCCACTCTTCCGGGAACCTCTCAATAGTTCTTCCCGCTTCCTAAGAGCATTCGTTGAGAGGTCGAAAGCAACACTTTGTGCCCTTTGTGGCTGGTCCACTAAAGAGGGGCTCAAACGGCTCAACTGTGATGTGTAAACCCTTCTCACCCCACCCTGCACCTGTGGCCACATCCGAACAGTTCAAATCCGTTGCCTTGGACATCCCACCGTAGTCTCTCACCCTCCGCCAGAACCTGGGCTCCACGGCCTTCAGCCTTCATCGACCCCTACGGCCGGGCCTAGCGGCGTTGCTCTACGCAGGTTGGCCACGCGCCGGTGCGAGCGACACGAGGTGGGTGAGGTTTCAAGGGGAAGGTGTGGATGTAGATCCGTTGATTAGACTGCGGATTGCTTGCATGACCAGGGTTTAATGCCGGCTTAGGGATCCTACAATGATATAGATGTGAGGTATTGGAATCACCTGCTGAGTAAAAGGCCCGTTACATCAGATGTCTCAACTTCGTGTTTGTCCGGTTGTCCGCTTGATCATTGGTCGCCCGTGCTCCACTCGGCACTGTGGGTAGATGCAAGGATTGGGTCAGTCAATGTGGGTGATGTTCATGTTGGTGGTTATTTCCACTAAGTGCTTGGGCCACATCCCCTAAGCATTTTCTGTCCAGTCGACCTGGTCTTCGTTGGACCCGGACTGGGACTGCTCGTGTCGAGGTGCTTTGATCGCCATGGGGGTGGCGGAAGTCTTGCGAGCCCCGCGACTCGAGGACGGATGTACAATAGGCGGCTTTGATGCGACAGGGCCATGGTGGGAGGGCCATGGTGGGATGGGAAATGGCAGCAGATCATTGGCTGGATTGGATATGATATGATGGGATATGGGATTGGATGGGGTGATTTGGGGATGGTTGGATGGATTTGCTTTTCGGTACCCTCCAAGCGTTTAGTAGATGCTCGGCTTTCATGGTGAGGAAGTGGTGAGGGCGCATTACATCCGCTGCTACGACAAGACATCTACCCCAGAATGGTGCCCCACACAAACGGATTTTCTCAAAACTAGCGAGCTTCTTGTTGGATACGGGGCAAGGATGATGCAGCCATCAACTGAATCAGCTGTGTTCCTTAGTAAGTGTGGGTGTTGGGATCTATTTTTGGCATTGTCGATGCAGAAACGCAACAAGCAATGAAGACAACCTGCAGAGATGGCACACTGATTGTGTTTATATGTTGGGTTCAATAGCTGGATGCCTTTTTGAAGCCTTACGCATGGAGTTTGCACCATCGAACACCAGGCTGGTTTGGTGGATCTTCGAATGTTCATAAACCTGAGAGACCTGGTGTTTGACGCAGGAGATTTGGGCCATCTTCGCCGTATTTTTGGTCGCTGCCAGCTGGAACCTGAGGGGAGTTTCATGTAGATTTGCCAGAGATAGGAAACCGTCCCTCTACGTCAATGTAAATTCGATTTTTGATCAAAGCCGCCCTCGTGATGAACACCCATGGACTTGTCAGGCACCAAGCGGTCACTGATCCATTGTTGTCAGGTAATGTTGCTGTTTTTTGATTTCGGAGTTTTAGGTGCTGTCCTTAGAAGTGCTGTCCTTAGAAAGTACTGACTTTCCAATCGCTCCCGAATGCTTCTGTTTCTTCTTTCTCGAGATGTCTCAAGCTTGGACTCTTTTGCAAGCCGTGATGGGCATTTTACCATTGGTTTCACCCCTCTAAACCGGACGCTCGAGATTACTTATTCTTCAGGATCAGGTGCGAAGCACCATGTCTATGTCCCACATCAAGACCAATCACAACGATCAACCCGATCAGTTGACGTGTTCCCTAACAGCACGAAACACTTTATTGAAGGGCCGCTGGAACGTGTTCAAGTCTTGCAACACTTTGCACGGGTTTGACAACCATTCGGTCTTCAAATAGAACTGGAAGATCACTCCAGCTCGAAGCTCCCAGCGTTCCTTACTGAACGCTGGAAGCTGGAATCCTGGGAAGCTGATTGAATCCCGAGCTGTGGGTCACAGCTTCGAGCTCGGTTCTTGGGGCTACCGGGTCACACCGGTCGGTGGAAGTCTGGGTGAACCCATGGAAACCGTAACACCGACCTGACACCGGAAACCATGGAGGGTTGGGGCTGTTGACACGAACTCTTTAGGGTGCAAAGGAAGAACGGGGTCCGTTTTTTTTTGGGGTGTCTTGATGGCCCTGTGGCCATCTAGGCAAGCCCCCCGAAGCTCCAAAAACATCGAACCTCGAAACGAACCTCAAGAGCTGGACGAGATGCTACCTGCTACCTCTTGAGCTACGTGATGCAATCTGAGACCGGTGCTGCCAAGGTCTACCCTTGGTCTTCCTCTTGGTGGGGTTACCTCAGCAACAGCTGGTCTTGTGTCCTCCATTGTTGGTATACTTGGCCAATGTGCTGCCCTTTGCCTCTGGCCTGGTGCTTAGACAGCTCGTTCTAGGGGAGGAGGGGGAGATTTGATTGTGGTTGTGTCATTCACTCTGGAGGGTGCAAATGGGTTCGCCCAATTAGGTATGGAGCAGATGTCGAAACCAGTGGACTGAGCGGAATACGCAGGCTTTTAGATGAAGAGGTGAGAAAGAATCAAGACGTCCATTGGACGCTCAGCAGTTGCTGCCAGTGAATTCTGGGTCAAACCACCTGGTGAGTGGATGGTTTTCGCTTGCTGGGTTTATATACATGTTTCTTCAATGAAAAGGATATCTTATGACATGGGGATCACTTCGTCGCGGACCCGTTCGCCATCCGTCCCGGACTTGCAGACCCGTTCGCCACTTCCCTTCGCCACTTCGTTCTTTTTCAGAACTCGGTGTTTGTTGACCGAATTCGAGCTCAACCGGTCAGGTGGTCCGCACGTCAACCGGTCTGGTTCTCAAAGCCTCCCCACGGAAGACCTTCACACGAAGTCCATCGCCCTCGCCCTGCACTGCCCAAGGGCACCTGGTCTGGCCCAGGCTTGCTGTGTCGCCTTTGGTGGGACTCAGAGATCTTCATCCCCTACGATCTGCTGAAGGTGTGGAAGCTCTGCTCAAAAAAAACCCTCTCCAGCGGGACGAGCATGGTTGCCAGCAACCTTTGGATTTGGCCCAAAAATGCCAACAAGCCGGAAGGGATGAGTGCAAATGGGCTTCGCCCACAGCGAAAAGACCAAAACTGTGCCAGGTGTGAGATGGTTCATAGTTAAAAGCCGATGGAAAAGACATGGAAGACACATATGTCACATGTCACATGAAGAAGTGTGGCTTGTTCTTTTAGGGCCTTGTTCCGTTCCTCTCAGTTTTTGGAACTCTCAGCCACTTTTGAAGCTTGATTGACGTGGAAGCCTTGTCTTGAGCATTTCGTGACAAGGATTCCCCAGCTTGGACAGAATCTTTCATGCGGTTTTTTATTGGGCTGAGAAATTGATAGTGATCACTTTGGGCTGGGTGGCTGTGTTTGTCTGGAACATCAGTTTTGTCTGGCTCCGTCTGATTGCTCTGCTGCTTCTTCTTTCCACCGGGAAGGTGGCGACGCTCCATGTGGTTTCGGCCTTGCTCTTCCGGCACAGCCGGGCCGCAAAGCTCGTTGGGGGCCCAGTGGGCGTAGTGATGACACTGGTGGTGACGAAGATGCTTGGTTGGTTGGTTGGTTGGTGTGCTTGGGCAGAGCCACAGAGCCGCAGGCTGCATGCTGGGAGTATGGGCAAATATTGCTAGCTGCTAACATGGAGGACATTGATGTGGTTCAAGAACAAGATGGATGTGGTGTAGAGAATAGAAGGTGTACATTTCCCAGCGTTCGTCGATGTCTAGGGTGACAACAGCTTTGAATTGACCCACAGCCAAATTGATGCTAAATGTACTGTAACCGTTGGATTCATGTTTCGGAGTATGCAGGTATTTGGCCCAAAGATGGAAGTCAGGGCCATATCTGGCACCCTCGTCACAAAGATTGATGAGGAGGATTTGCGAGGCATGGTGGCTGGTAAAAAGCCCATTAGAAGCCTGAAGCATCTCCTAGCAGCTCAAATTGGATGCTCTAGGTTTCAGCAAAGGCTCCTGACAGAAGACTGCGAGTTGCAGGATGAGATGCTTGTCAAACAATTTCCGCATGTACAGTTGGTGATCCTCGACTTTTGTGCTCCTGATGAAACCATGCAGGAGGAACTGCTTCTGGCATGCCAGCAGAACAGGGTTGGTGAAGTTGAAGAGTTGCTTCAAAAACCCCTGAACCCCAACCGGATAGTTTCACATACCGACCGTACTCTACTCATTCATGTCGCAGCTGACAATGGCCACTCAGAAATTGTGCGACTCTTGCTGGAGGCTCGGGCTGACAAGAACGCGACGACCTCAACGGGGGCAACAGCCATGTTTGTTGCTGCTCAGAATGGCCACTGGCAAGTTGTGCGGTTGTTGCTTGCGGCTGGAGCAGACACGAATGCGACCATTAAAGATGGAACAACAGCTTTGCTTAAGGCAAGTGAGAGGGGCCATTTCGATCTTGTGGATTTGTTGCTTGGGGCCGGAGCAACCGAGGATGCTGCAAAAGCAGCTGCGGGTGTTGCACTTGGGAATGGCCATGGGACGGTTTTCACTTTGTGTATGCGTTTTGCCCAGCTCAAAGCAAAGCCAGATTTGGCAGGCACAAAAATGCAAAGCAGTGCAGTCATGGCCGCATATGTGGGTTCTGAAGGTGTGCACAGGCCCAGTCTCCTGTGTTCCATCAGCACTTCCACAGAGTGACTATAGGGGAAAGCTTTCAAAGCGTCCCAAATCTCA